AGTCCAAGATATAAATGGTAAGTTATATTATTTGTTTGGTAGGTTCTAATCTCTCTCTCTCTCTCTCTCTCTCTCTCTCTCTCTCTCTCTCTCTCTCTCTCTCTCTCTCTCTCTTCTCTCTCTCTCTCTCTCTCTCTCTCTCTTCTCTCTCATTTTATGTGTTCTAGGTTCTACTATATGTATAGTAAGTTTTATTATATGTGGTAGGCTCTATTATATGTATGGTAGGTTCTATTATGTTTTGTAGGCACCATTATCTATGTAGTATATTCCATTATGTGTTACGTTTTATTACATGTGGTGGGTTTTATTATATGTAAAGTGGGTTTCATTGTATGCATGGTAGGCTCCATTATATGTATGGAAGTTATTATATACACGGTAGGTTTATTACATACTTGGTAGGTTCCATTCATTGCTAAGAAGGAAGGCACGAAATCAGATATACACGAGCAAAATGTCCTGTATGGTTTGTTCAAGTGGTATAAATCGCAGATGATGCCGTCTGGGTTATATCGTGCTTGAAGAATTAAGTTTCCTTCTCATGACAGAACGAGAACAAAATTCTTGATTTTTGTGTGTATTAGTGCACTCTGACTTCCTTTCGAGGTTGTTATCAATGTCCTTTGGAGAAGTGCTTGTGGTCTTTTCTCTTTTTTATGGGACAGATAATGTTTTGCTTGCTGGTGTCTTGTAAGTGTTCTCACTACTTGGGTAAGAAGTATGTTGTTAAGCGAAGAGTTTCGTTCTGTGTTGATTTAACCACTTTGTGCCGTTTGCTAGACCTGCTCTCTCTGTCTCTGTCTACCTTTCTCTCTCTCTCTCTTTCTTCTTCAGCCTTCACCTCTTCTTCTCTTTCCTTGGTTCACTCATTCTTCTCTATCTCTTTCCCTCTCCTCTCTATCTGTCTGTCTCACTTTCTCTCTCCCTCTCTCTCTTCCTTTCTTTCTCAACTTTTCCATGAATGTTTCCACTTCATAATCCTCTCAAATTCCCTTGTCCTCCTCCATTTTTCTACCATCCAACCTACCACTCCATACCATCCTCCACACAACGGACTCACCACCCTACTACTCCAAATACACCACGGAAATCAACACTTACCAACTCCCAACATCCCCTAGACCCTATTGCACAATTCATTTACTTTCCCTTAGCCCCGTCTCCCTCTCGCCACCTTAAAACCTAATCTATGACGCCTTCCACACTAAATGCTCCCTTTACTACTCTAATCCACTCCCTTGCCACCTTAATTCCCACTAGACCACTCCTTAACCAACCCCCCCAAACACTTTTACCTTTCCCTTCCCACTCCAACCTCTCCCTTACCGACCTACTCCCCCTCTGAAACCAAACATAAATACTCCCTTAGCACGACCAACTCTTCTCCTCCTCTCCCGTCCTCTTACCTAGTTTCCCTCCCTTATCGCCCTACTCCCCACCTCCAACTAACCTTAAACACTCCCTTAGCACGAACGCCCTTATTTACAACCGCCCCCTTTACACCAATTCACTCTCCTACCTCCTCCTCCGCCTTCCCGCCCTCCTACCTGACCTCTTTCCAGCGAGCAATTAATAGCCAAACGACTGCGGACTTAGCGGGTATTGGGGAGCGGATGGAATAAGGGCAATTTCCTCGCCTGACACCTATTCCGGGATTCATTTCCGCGGAGTTTTAACGTGGGATAAGCGACGTGCTGACGCGGGATGCCGTCGACGGGATTTCATATCGAAGGTCTTAATGTTTGAGGGGAGACGGGTTTTTTTCTCTAATGTTGTTTTTTATTATCATTGCTATATCATTGTTGCTAGAGGGGTGACTTAGCTTTTTTTCTAAGCTTTTTTTAATTTATCATTATCATTGTTATATTATTGTTGTTCGAGGGTGGAGTATTTTTTTGTCTTTTTTTGTTATCATTGTTATATTATTGTTTTTTTGTTATTGTTAGGATTATTATTAATAAGACCATCGCATTGCTATCTTGGTCAGCATCCTCATCCTTATTATTACTGTTACTCTTATTGTTGTTGTTGTTATTATTATTGTTATTATTATTATCATTAATATTACTATTCATTAATATTACCATTAATATTATTATCATTTATTATTACTATTATTATCACTTAATATCAATCATCATTAATGTTATTATCATCATCCTAGTTTTTATCATCATAATTTTATTATCATATCATCATTATCACCATCATCATTATCAATATTACTGTTGTTGTAGCTTTTATCGTCATCATCACCTTCATTATCATATCCTATTTTCTTTTTATCGGAGAGGATATCCCATTTCTTCATTTTATTTTGGATTTTATTAGATATTCGTATTTCTTATTATAATCCTTTCTTTATCATTTCATATTCTTTCATTTTTATTTTCATTTCCACCTTCTCTCTCTCACTCTTTCCTCCTCCCCCTCTGATCTCTCTCTCTCTCTCTCTCTCTCTATCTCTCTCTATCTATCTCTGTCTGTCTGTCTGTCT